TGAGCGGATTAAGGAAAATAAATTGGTACTTATATATTTTAATAAAATTTAAAAATAAATAAAATTACATATATGCATGTATTATATATTAATTAAATTTATTTATTATATTATAGGCATGGGATTAGCTTTAGACCATTCCATAATATTTTACTGCATTTGCTGTCTGATCAATTTAAATATATATTCATTAAAATCAAATATTAAGAATAATTGTTGCTACTAAATATTTTATATATTTTATTTCAAGTAAGCATTATCGCCTTTAGCTGCATTTTGACTTCATTTTTGGTTTTTCTTGCTCAGAGAATCTCAAAGATAAACACGCCTTAGAGAGCTTCAAGACTTGATTATGATTGCAAATGCTACTCATATGCGTATAAATATTATTTTTCTGCAATAATATTACATTTTCCTTTATTTTCGGGAAATGTAATATGTTCGTTTGGGCATCTTTTTGCTCTTCTCTTCAATCTGCGCATCCAGCTCATTTCGAAGCAAATTTGCGTGTGGCTGTTGTCGTCATTTGAGTCACGTACAAGTTGCAATAATTTGCAACACGTTCGCTCGGCAAGTGCATGCACATCAACAGCGGCAACAGCAACAACAACAACAGCAACAGCAACTTGGACGGCAACAACAACTGATGCTGCAAGCGTATTCTAATCGAACCGAACGGTTGCGGCGGCTGGGCAATAAATTGGCAACCAGAGCCTGACCAGAGCAATCAACACCTGTCCAATGAGCCACAACAACAGCAACAGGCGCAGCAACAGCCACAATAGCAACAACTACAACTACAACAACAAAGAGGGCCAGCGGAGCCCTTTCAACGCATAATTTAACGCTGAGATATGAGAGCTGAGCGAGTTCTATTACAAGTTGATAATCCGTGACGATCGATTGCCCGGTGATATCCTTGGCAATGCAATTAAGTAATGTTGCCGGCACTCACCGCAACAGCAGCGGCGGCAACAGTTGCTGCTGCGCGCATGTGTCTGAAATTCAAATTACATTTATTACCAACACTTTGAGCAGCTGATTTAGTGCACTTACGGTGAGATTTGATTGGGTTTTAGCCCAAACAGATATCTGAACCCTTAATGTTGTTATTAGCTGTTATTAATGCTTGCAGGTCCCCGAATGACAAGCGTCTATAGTTACCCTATGGTAGTTTCACACTCCAGCTCTAGTCCAAATCTCTGCAGCATCTGTTGCGCAGTTCCAGTGAAAAACGCGGCCAGATTTCAGCGCAGGCCGCAATCAAAGCTAGTCCGTTGCCTTTCGCACAGTTTCCACACAGTTTTCTTCATCATTTTGCTTTTTGTTTTTGTTTTTGTTTTTGTTCGCTCTTTTTTCTCAATTTCTGCTCGGTCTCACACAGCGCGCAATTGACGCGTGTTGGTGATTGCTATAGCCATAGCCTTTCCCATTTAATGGTGTCCATATGATTCACGGCACTGCGCACCAGGCCAGACGCGACCAGACCCGGCCCGACCAGACCTGGCATCGCCATCGCCATCGCCAGCCGATGCGCCGATGCTTTTCGGGTTACTCAAAAATTCGTTAAATACAATTGGATTTCTTTTGGGGCAGCGCTCGCTGTCGAACTTGATGATGTGCCTGAGCCTAAGCCTGAGCCTGAGTCTGAGTCTAAGCCTGAGCTTGAGCCAGTGCCAGTGCCTAGGCCCATGCCTAGCTGTGGAGTCGTGCTCGAGCTGGGTCTGGGCCTAGGCACTCCCCCGCGGCGCACAGTGCACTTCGCCACAGCTAGCCAGCTAGTCGAGGCAATAACAACAAGTAACAAAACTGTGATCGAGCGTGCTAGACTAGAAGATATCCTAGAAGATATATTTTTAAGAATACCCAAGCCATATTATTAGATATATTTATTTCGATATTTTAAATTTTATATATTATATTATTATATAAAGATTGGCATATATTTCAATTAAAAAGTTTGGAGCTTTTCTCTCTGTTGCAAACGTGTGCTCGAAAAACAGTCGACCCGTCTTAGCAACTTCAGATGGACTCGTGGTAGAAAAAGAAAAACAATTGCAATTTTCAACTAATGCTTATTGCTGGAAATCAGTTTAGAAAAGCTAAAGGAGCGAGTGTATGTGGAGTGTGGAGTATGGGGCCAGAGCTGTGCGGCTCCGTTGCCCGAGTCAACTCACAGTCGGAGTCGCCGCAGAGTCAACGTCACAGTCACCTGGGCTTGAACTCTGCGCTGTTGTTGTTGCACTCCAAAAGGTGAGTCCAGTCCACTAAAAGTCGCCTCTTTGATGAAAACTGTAAATTTACGAACTTTACTTTAATCACCAAACATGAATCGCGCACAGCATGCAGCAGCAGCAGCAGTCGCAGCAGCAGAGGAGCAGCTTGAAGCATGCAGCTCTGAGGCATGCAGCAAGCCGCATGCACCTTAAGAGAGGGACAGAGAGGGGCAGAGGGAGATAGAGACAGAGAGCGAGTGAGCGCAATAGACTCCAATCTCTTGTTGTTAGTATTTCAGCTTGAATCAAATTTAGCTGAGTTTATATGGCTGCGAAAATCTCGGCTCATTTATGAGCTATCTGCTTTGCCTAGAATCTTTCATATCTCGTTAATTTTATGGATCTTTTATATGAGAATACCCCCAACATTTTTGAGAAATTTTATATATTTATTATACACACAACTGGAGAGATGCAGGCTCGTCTGTGTTAAATTATAAATTTAATTAACTTGTTAAAAGTTTGAATTATTTATTTTCATAATTATTCTATATTTT